TGTTGTTCGTCTCGATGTGCCCTGCGATTGGCTGGCAATCAGTTCAGGGTGTCCCCCGCCTAACGCCCGAAGACAGCTGGGATAGGCTCCAGAGCACCCCCTATATATATATATATATATACATACACACACACACACACACACACACACACACACACGCACGCATGCATGCACGCACGCACGCACATATACATATACATTCATATCCATACTCTGACTTAATTTTCCATCTTTGTGTGTGGGCGGAGCATGGCTGAGAATGTCCTGCCCTGAAAAGATTTATAGGCGCCCGCTACTTGCAGGAATGTGTAGCTGCAATAATTCCGAGTGAAGTGAAAACTCCACACAGGAGGGCCTGAGCCCAGATTCAAACACCCCCAAACCTCAGAACTGAGAGGCAGGCAAACAGTTCTCAGCCACCATGCTGCATGACAGCAACTAAACTACGCAACACCTTTGGAAGTACTGTAGCTTCCTAGTAGACCACATGAATGTGTCTTTTCCTATTCAGTGTCACGGCGCAAGCCTAACACCATAACTGAAAATGTCAATGCCAACATCCACCTTTGAAATGAAAACAACAGCCCCATTGTAACATGAAGGCCTTAAATGCCCTCACTTTCTAAAACTGTCTTCAGCCTCAGGTTTGGTATCCGGACCGGTCCTGACGGGCACATAAAACACTCATGCACATTTTATAAATGTCCCCAGAGGTCGCAAAAGCAGTTGTGAGAAAACAAGCTATGGATGTTTACTTGTCCAGTCTATTTCCATCATATTCCTCGGGCATATTTAGCTTTCCTATCAGAAAGAAAACAAATGATGTCATTATGATGTGGACTTGAATTTCAGAATGATTGCTTGAGAGTCAACCGGGCTATGATGAAGTGTTCAGAAGTTGGGGCAGTTTTAGAAGCACACTCGTTTGTTTTCTTCCCAAGCCCTAAATCGTGGCAGTCGACAACAATTCTGCATCATCACTGATCTGGCCTCTTCCCACAGATGTTACAGTAAATGCCTTTTAAATTACTGAAGCTGAGAAATCAGACTTTCGTCATTTGAGACAAAAACTTCTCGACTCATTTCCCATCAGTACTCATGTGAAATTACTTCCAACATTTATCTGTAATCTACCACATTCAAAATCCGGTGGAGCATCCAAAGTCCCAAACTCTTTCTAACTGAACTTTTGATGCATTAATGTTATCATCCAACATTATAGATAGCGTTAATATGGTGTTTAAAAGAAGCTAACGCTGTTAGCTAACCCTCATGTGCGCATCCACCAATGGTATAGAGAGCGTTAAAATCGCGTTTAACAAAAGCTAACGCTGTTAGCTAACCCTCCTGTGCTCATCCACTAATGTTATAGAGAGCATTAAAATGGCGTTTAACAGAAGCTAAGGCTGTTAGCGAACCCTCCTATGCTCATCCACCAATGTTATAGAGAGCGTTAAAATGGCGTTTAATAGAAGCTAACGCTGTTAGCTAACCCTCATGTGGGCATCCAACAGTATTGCGATGGCGCTTAGCTTTTAGATTTTAAAGGTTAATGAATCCATGCAGTCTCTGATAGGTCTTCACCCAGGTCATAGGTGGAGAAACTGTTTTTCAGTACAGTGACCACTGCATTTAACAAGAAGACTTCCTGTCATCCATCCTTCCTCCCTTCCTTCCTTTAGCGCACGCTTTGATGGCGTTATTCCGAGTGCAGATAAAAAGGTTATCTGAAAGATGCAGCAAAGCTGTTCCCCAGACAAGCGGTCACCTGGTGCCCTTAAAGACTCCAGGAGCTCCGCTGATAAACCACCAGAAAGCCCCACCACACCTGATACATTATCTCGACTCGATGCTCAACTCACTAGACTCTCGACAGACCTTGTTTCCTTCGTGGGAAAACGCACGTGTGATGCCGATACAAACAACCCCGGTTTGTAATGTTACAAGCAGGGCTGAGCAATGAATCAAAACTTCAATTGACATCGCAAGGTAGTAGTTGAAGTTGAAGTGATCAAGCCACAGATTCGTTTGCATTGTTGGTGGAATCTGTAATCTTGTGATTTACTGATTGATGTTTGCGCCACACTTGTTTGGTAGCATTTTGTAAAGCTAGCGGAGCGAACGCTTAAAAGGCAGCAAGTCCTTTCTTTGCTCGAAACATTTGTAAGTCAAGACGCGTTTTCCATGTAAATGCACTAATCTGTTCCAAGCCTCACCCAAAATTCTGACATAAATGTTTTATGAAGCATAAAAATGCATCAAAATATGTAAGAAATACATGTTACAATTAGATTATTGCACAATAAATGAGAGTTGTGCATCATGTAAAAAAAAAAAAAAAAAACAAAGAATAGAATAAAGAATAAAAATGATAGTCATTTCACTTTTAACTGCGCCCTCATCGTTTTTGCCCTCTTTCGTTGTTCTCTCTCAGAAGTGGCTTTTGCCTGGCGTTTTGTTAAGAACTGATCCAGGGGCGTTTGCGAATGGTCAAAGTTTGCGAATATTGAAATTAATTTGGTACAGCAGTGTTGGGGGGGGGAAAAAGCGGCACTAGAAGTTCCTTCAGGGCTTTCCTTTTCCACCACTGCCATGCAATTTCTCCATTGTTCCCACCTCGTTTCACATTCCCCACGTCTAACTCATCGGCGCTGGCCTACGTCATGCTGTCATGACTCACTGTGGGGCCGCACATGTGAACTGAAGGCAGCCGTGCGCGCGCACACACACGAATAAACACAAGCTATATTTTTCCCACAATTTACCAATCGTGTAGTTAAATTCGCTTTCTTTCCACCATCACAGAAGTGGTTAGAATTTCAAGTCTGTGATCGTTTCAAGTTTCAAGTTAGGCTTTTAAGTTAGGCTTGCGGTTTGAAGCTAAGGTCGGGTTTTCAAGTTTGGGCTTTGGCTCGCCGCACACCGAGCCGTGCAGTGTGCACGGTTCTGCAACCAGTTTGCAAGCAGTGCAAGCGGTTTGGCTGGATGAACCGCGTTGCAATGTCACAGCCGCCCTCTCCCCCCCAAGTCCTCAAAATTTCATGTCGCATCATGTGCTTTCCCATCAAAAACGATGTTCCCAGATATGAAGAGAAATCCAGCAAGGTGCCAACAAGCCATATCAATACCGTAGCCACAGTGTATATCCATCCATCCATCAACCTTCTAATCCGCTTATCCTCCCGAGGGTCTCGGGTGTGCTGGAGACGATCCCAAGTCTCTTCGGGCAGTAGGCGGGGTACACCTTGAACTGGTTGCCAGACATCGACAATCACACCTCGGGACAATTTTCAAGGGTTCGATTCCGGCTCCGGCCTTCCTGTGTGGAGTTCTGTTCTATCTATATGCCTGCGTGGGTTTTCTCCGGGTACTCCGGTTTCCTCCCACATTCCAAAAACATGCATGGCAGGCTGATTGAACACTTTAAATTGTCCCTAGGTGTGAGTGTGGATGGTGATTCGTCTCTGTGCGCCCTGTGATTGGCTGGCAACCGGTTCAGGGTGTCCCCCGCCTACTGCCCGAAGACAGCTGGGATAGGCTCCAGCACCCCCAGCGACGCTTGTGAGGATAAGCGGATCAGAAAATGGATTAATGGATGAACAACATCGAGCCAAGGCCTGTGGGAATGTGTTGGTGGGGTTGTAAATGGTCTGTCAGGGTATTTGCACATCTGTCGCCGCCTGCTCAGGGTAAAGTCAACAGCTCCGAGGGTCGCTCATGTTGCTCCAACGCCGGCCTGACGTGAGCAAGGACGACCGCCGGTCCCACCGCGGCGCACCGAAAGACATGGAACGCAAAGAATGGCATTTCAACCGCAAGGCTCATATTTGTATTTATCGTTCATAAGTCCAATTGTTGCTTAAATAACATCGTTCAACAGAGGAGCAGCGCAATTGTGACTCCTTGATCTGACTGGAAGCAGCTGCGCATGAACCTCCAACTTTCACCCCACTGCCACATTTAGCTTTCCACTTTGTCACTCCAAAAAAGAAACTACGGATCACGCAAGGCAGTTGGAATTACCCTTCCATTTCACGTCCACTTTGGTCCTGTCCGAAGGGAAAGGTCTGACCTATCTCATACACTCGAGTGACAAACGCAGCACACTCATTCGTCACTTGGGAAAAGGAAAAACAAAGATACTTCAAATCGGAGAAACATTCATGAGGTTAGAACATTGTTGGCCTGCACACGGGCCATGGATTCCCCCATAAAAGGAAACCAAACACATAAGGTCTCATTTTTCTGTTTAGACTGAGATCAACTCGAGATCGACTCCTTGGACTTTTGGCATCAATAAATAAAACGCATTTGTTTGTTTGATTCGGGTCCCCGCAGGAATTTTTGCATTGGTCATATCTGCCTACATCTGCAATATGTTTATTATTGCGGTTGTACTTTGCGGCGGTGTCGAGCGCCGCTGCATCACATTGAGAGCTGTTTCTAATCATTTGGTTACCGGAGCAACTAAATACTAGAAATAGAGTGCAGTTGTCATGCCACAATATAAAGTCTTGAAATGTGAAATTGACACTGTGTGTTTCTGAAAGGGTTGCTCAACAGTGAGCTTTAGAATAGTAATAATATGCGTTATTATTTGTAAAATTATTATTAATATCTCTAATGTGCATCATGACCATTTCAAAGTCTCAGGTGGTGGTGGTGGGGGGGGGTGATTCCAGGGTAGCCCATGAGACCCCATACTCGAATAAAGTGTACATACACATCCACTACAGTAGGTGGCACTGTCACATATTTTCAGTTGGAATTTCAGGCCAATCAATGATAATAATATGCGTTATTTGTAAAATTATTATTAATATCTCAAATGTGCATCATGACCATTTCAAAGTCTCAGGTGGTGGTGGTGGGGGTGATTCCAGGGTAGCCCATGAGACCCCATACTCGAATAAAGTGTACATACACATCCACTACAGTAGGTGGCACTGTCACATATTTTCAGTTGGAATTTTGGGCCAATCAATGCATTTCAAATCTTTTCTCTTACAGAATAAAAAAAACAATGGTCATAAAGTTATTCTTTATTGTAAGTTGATGTAGAATTGCTTCCTTTTTTTGTCTTCTTTCATGTAAACAAGGACACAATTTATGCAGAGGTGCACTTGGTGGAGCACTTCCAATATTGTATGCTTTGTGATATAATATAAAATTAACAACATACACTATTTATATTCACATTTATTAAACTGTACTGTAAAAACATTTGATATCTGGAATTTTAATGTGTTGTTATTATTATTATTATTATGATTATTATTATTATTTCCATCATGGAATATGTGTCGTACTTTATGACTTTAATTTAATATGTAATTATAATTAAATATTTAATATTTGACCTATTTAATGTATAGTAATGATTATTTTTAAATGATCATTTTTGTATATTAACTCAATAGGTGCTGATATTTTGGTCGTTACCTGAGCAACTGTGATGTCACTTTTAGTTAACAGCTAGTGGCAAAATGGCCGCCCCCTGAGATGGATAAAAATCATATTCCACAAATGTAATGCTAAGCAAAATACTGCGTTTAGACCGGTGTGGCTTTTTAAATGGTCATTTTTGGATATTAACTCAATAGTTGCTGATATTTTGGTCATTACCTGAGCCCTGAGCAACTGTAATGTCACTTTTAGTTAACACCTAGTGGCAAAATGGCCGCCCCCTTGGATGGATACAAATCATATTCCACAAACGCAATGCTAAGCAAAATACTGCGTTTAGACCGGTGTGGCTGCATAAAACATATTACGGTAAAAAAAAAAAAAAAAAAGTAAAGATAAAATGTATTTCATGTACTATCATTGCTCTTTTTATGACACTAAGACAAAGTATGAAAAAATATTTCAATGCAATGTTTCGTATTCTGTTTAGTTATTATGACTATTTGTACAACATTATTTTTTTAAGAGTGTGGGTTGGTGGAAAATTGCCATCAGGGCACTTGAGTTCCTCTTAATGTATTTCATGTATTATCATTGCTCTTTTCATGACACTAAGACAAAGTATAAAAAAATATTTCCACGTCATGTTTCGTATTATGTTTAGTTATTATGACTATTTGTACAACATTTTTTTTTTTTTTACAGTGTGGGTTGGTGGAAAATTGCCATCAGGGCACTTGAGTTCCTCTCCAAATGACAAAAGTACACAAAGGATTTTCGAAAAGTCATAAAAGGTTCATATGTTTGATGCTTACGCTCATGATACACAGGAAGTGATGTCCAATGCTTGATTCCTGGACATGAACAAAGTGAACGGCGAGGGAGGAGCTGAAGGCATAAGAACCGCCCCAGCAGCATCAGGCTGAGAGCCCTCCACTGTTTGCCGCTGCCAAAGCGAGCAGCAGGACTGAGAACTCCCCAAAAACTCCACACAACTTTTCCCACCGTGTACTTGTGATTGGACAACCGCTGCTTCTTTTCTCGTCTTCATCTACAAACCGGACATGTTGAAACGAGGACAATAAGTGCACAAAGAGCTTTAATGGCCTAATGACCGATTCAATTCTGGTGAGTATTTCTTCTTTTTTTTTTGTTTGCTTTGATTAGAAGTTTGCATCTTTTCCTCATCGCCACCACCGGTGATCCTTATTCATTCTTTCTGCTCCATTGAACATGTTTGGGAGTTTTATTAAAGAATTGCATGTCTTGAAGAAGAAAAAGAAGTGCAAAAATAGTCATTAAGAAAACGGTGATGTTCTATTTGAACGATTCTATTTCCGCTCCTCCTGTGCACAGTTAAGTCAACTTTTGTGTTTATTTATCATGGGGCAATGCACATTAAATAAACATTGCTGTCAATGCGGCAGATTTAGTCAAACGGCTATTTTCCATCTGTAGCTCCTTGACAGATCTTAATTAAAAAGTCATCTTAAAATAAACAAACGTGTATGCTGCAGAACAATAAGCAGAAGCAACGTAAGAAAACCCTTTGGGCCGGAAAATTGGACCGACATGCTACATGGGTCAATATGACCCAACTATTGGGTTACTTTTGTACACACACACCCCAAAAATGAGCTTGTTTGGTAAACAACAACCCAATTTTTGACCCAAATTGTGTTATATTTTGGACCCAGCAGTTTTAAGAGTTATAGTCTCATAATACAAAACACAACAAATCAAATGAGGGTTATTCTTGTTGACATCTTATGACGTACTCCTGAATTGCATTCATCCAAAGTAAATTTTTATGATCACTCATGAAGTCATGCAAAATTGGATCTGGAAGCATTTTTATGTGTTGTGTACTGCATGGGATATTTTATGTCGATGCAGGGGGACAGAACAAGGTTTAAAAAAAAAAGAGAACAGAATTTTTGAATCCTACCTTTGCATGTGATTGGCAGAGCCTCCAGAGGCGGCTGTTGTAGGATGCCAGTCTCCTCTGAGTCCAGTGCTGTGGCGCCCCCTGTCGTGTGAGTGAAGGAACTGGGTGGTGGTGGAGGAGGAGGAGGGGGCGGCACGAGGCAGCATGGGCACCGCGCCGGAAGAAGGCATGAACATGGTGATCGTGGCCCATTACAACAACTCGGGCAAGTGGGAGCGGGTCCGCGGCGCCGGCGCGTGCAAGACGGCCGTGCTGCTGCTCATCTGCGTGCTGATCGTCCTGGAGAACCTGACGGTGCTTCTGGCGCTGTGGAGGAACAAGCGCTTCCACAGCCGCATGTACTTCCTCATCGGCAACCTGGCGCTGTCCGACCTGCTGGCCGGCGTGGCCTACGTGGTCAACATCTTCACCTCGGGGAGCAGGACCTACTTCCTGACGCCGGCTCAGTGGCTGGCCAGGGAGGGGAGCATGTTCGTGGCCCTCAGCGCGTCCACCTTCAGCCTTCTGGCAATCGGGATCGAGCGCCACATGACCATGGTGCGTCTTCGCCCGTGCGAGACGGCCGGCCGCGGACGCCTCCTGGGTCTCCTGGCGGCCTGCTGGCTCGTCTCGGTGCTGCTCAGCGCCCTGCCCAGCCTCGGCTGGAACTGCCTGGACGACCTGGGCTCTTGCTCTACTGTGCTGCCGCTGTACGCCAAAAGTTACGTGGCGTTCTGCATCAGCGTCTTCAGCGCCCTGCTGGTGGCCATCATCATCCTCTACATCCGGATCTATCGCCTCGTGACGTCCAGCGGGCGCAGGGTGAGCAGCCGGCCTTCCGAGTGTTCCCTGGCTTTGCTGAGGACCGTGGTGATCGTTCTCGGGGTGTTTGTGGTGTGTTGGGCGCCCCTCTTCATGCTGCTGCTCCTGGACGTTGGCTGCAGTCCCAATGGGTGCCCCGTTCTCTACGAGGTGGACTGGTTCATCGCCCTGGCTGTGCTCAACTCGGCCCTCAACCCTCTCATCTACACGCTGTCCAGCAGGGAGATGAGGGCGGCCTTCTTCCGCCTGCTGTGCTGCTGCCAGAGTGGAATGGAGTCCACCGGGATGCCCGCGGCGGGTAACCCCAACCTGGGCACGGCGGGGCCCACTGCCGAGAACAGCAAGAGCAGCATGGGGGGCGGCGGAGGGCTGGGAAAAACCACCCTGAACAGAGGGGTCAACTCGGACGAGAAGCACGGAGATCCCGCCGCCACCGCTCTGCCTCACCCGGCGGGACCCGCCGAGCTGCTGTCGGCCGTGTTGGTGAAGGCGGGGGCCCTCAGCAAGTTCTGACACGAAGCACCTAGAAAGCCATAACATTAGGCACACCTGCGCCGCCTAATGCCATGTTTTTCAAACTTTATGAAGGCACATATTTTACAGGTGACAAAAGAGACCAGGCAAAAATGCCACAAAAAGTAAACGGGAAACCCTTTTGGACCAAGCCAGACCACGAATCGTGGAAAAACCACAAGCAATTGATGGCAACATTTTTTTTTTTCATTTTTCACAATCATCTGTTCAATTCATTGAGTGGCTTACAGTTGGCGAAAAAGATAAACCTGTAAAAATAAAAGGAACCCAATTCTAGATTAAGAGATGGGGTGTTTTGGCTGCCACACAGTGTAGCTTCAAGGGTCAGAGTGCACTATGGTCACTGTTCTAAGGATGACAACACAAGAAATCAATCCAGAATCTAGACTAATGAAAGCCACTATGTAGAACAAATGTAAAGTGAACCAATTTTTTTTTTGGTATTTAAATAGTTTCGTGTTTCCAACCTTACGTTGTGGCAGTTGTTTTTTTCTTTTTATGTAGAAGCTACTTGGGCACTTTTTGTTTGTTGTTTGTTTGTTTGTTTTGCATGTGCTACAACACCTGCATTTTCCCCCCTCCGCCCCCCACAACTTGACTAGTATTTATTTTCTGTGAAAACATTTTGTCGCTTAATATACTCACCTGAGGTAGATTTTGTGCTCTGTGTGCATAAAAGCCGTCATGGTACTGGGACTGTATGCTGTTCAATGGGACGATTTGAGAAAAGATGACGAAAGAAAGGGATATATATATATATATATATATATATATATATATATTTTTTTTTTTTTAGAGGATATGAAGCTGCCGCTGCTGTATCTTTACCACTACTGGTGCAAAACCCCCATTTCTCCTGATGGTGGCGTCAGAGCAGCACTTCTCAATCGTCATTTATCTTAGAAACCACTCAGACGTCAACTAACCACTAGTAGTGATGAGCAGTGTTGGATGGGAGTGATTTCAAAGTGGTAGTCTGGTTCCATTATAGAGTCAATAAAATCTAAATCCTATTTGGTGTTGGTCAGATGTGAATGTGTGGTGTGTGAGTGCGGTAATAGAAAACCACATGTTGATCCTTTGCACAAATATATTATTTATCTAGTCGTGTGTCAGTGTCATTAATTGAAAAAAAATTTTGAAAGGTTCACACGCGAAAGAAGTGCCATTTAGACTAAAAAATAGTTGCACACCTACTCGCATACTGCCTATGACGCCGTCATTTGAAGTAGCAGTTTGACATATAGTGAGTTAACTTTCAAGATATTTACTGTCACTCTCAAATAAAGTCAAACTGAACAAAGTTGATCGCATCTTGTGTCTTGAAAACGACCACATACTGTAGCTTAGCCTTGCGATCTACTAGTTTAATACTAATGCTAATAAATAGCATTTACAGTGGTACCTCTACTTACGAAATTAATTGGTTCCGGAAGAAATTTCTTTAACTTGAAAATTTTATAAGTAGAGACACGTTTTCCATGTAAATGCCCTAATCCGTTCCAAGGCCTCTGAAAATTCACACATAAAATGTTTTCTAAAGCATAAAAATGCATCAAAATATGTAACAAATACATGTTACAATTAGATTATTGCACAATAAATGAGAGTTGTGCATATTGTAAAAAACAAAGAATAAAAATGATGGTCATTTCACATAAACACACAGCTATCTATCTACACACACAGACGCACGAGGTTGAAACCCCTCTTAGCCAATGGGATGCCAGGATGATGCTCAATAATAGCCAATGACAGAGCAGCTATAAGTATGTTGCATTCAGGAAACTCGGCGCTGCGAGTAGCAGCCCATACTGTATTTTTATCTTTCGTATCTTGAAATTTATTTCGTAACAAGAGGCAATATTTTCCTGTTGAGGCGTTTCGTAACTTGAAAATTTCGTATGGAGAGACGTTCGAAAGTAGAGGTTCCACTGTACTTTGCAGTGATTTAATCCTTTAGGTAACGTCTTGAAAACAAACGTTGCAGCAAGAAAATATACACTGACAACATAACAATACTGACATTCAGTTATCCTTTGCATAAAAATGACGAATATTAGTGCCGTACTGATGAGCAATTGCAGTGGTATTACGAATCCCACTTGAGTTCAAGGCAGGACACGCTAACCATTTTAAAGGAATCTTGTAGTGGTTAAACTTTGGACTTGTCTGGGGTTTTTTTTTTTAACTCCATCTTTTTATTGATTATTTTTTTTTGTCATCTGGGTTAGTCGTGCAAAAGGTTGCCAATTATTTCTTTGCAAAGGACTTCATTATCCATAGCAGAGGGTTCAGTGCCGCAGACAGAACCTGACAGAGTGGCATTTCACGCTCACCTCACAGAGATTAGTCCTTGTCCCACTCCTTAAATTGTGATGTGGAAAGACAGCAGGGATGCGAAAAGCGCAACCTTCTCCGGGAAAAAAAAGGTCATCGACTGTTCGCTTGCCGTCACGAATGCTTGAGCGTTTCTTCCCCGCGTCAGCCCGGGATGGGCACGGCCTTTTGCCATTTGGAAATGGAGAAAATGTTAACGCGCAGGGAGATTTGCTTGCACAGTAATCTTGTGTTGGAGTGTCACGGATACGATTGAATGTCACTGTGGGGTTCTTTGTATGTTTGCACGTATATAAAAAGTCAACACACCCCTATTCAAATGCCTGGTTTAAATGCTATCAAAAATGAGACCCAGATAAAATATTCCAAAACGTTCCTTACCATTATTGTAACCTACTACCTGCACAATGCATCTGAATTTTGTTTTTTTGTCATGACCCCCCCCGGAAGTGGGTCAGTCTTATAAATCATGTTAACTCAATAGCCGTCGCCGGTTCTCTGTGAGAGTTTCGACATGGCGGATTTGTGTCATTCTCAATGTGCAATTTGCATTTGCATATGACTGATGTGAACACGACAAGAGGACAAAAGGATAAGCCCACGCCCCCCCCGCTCTGTGGACGATTTGCAGGATTTGTGTTTGTGAAATCCGCATCTATGCATGTCTACATGAGTGTGCGTTAAGTGATTTTGTTTTTTGGGGATGTGTGCCCTATCAATCTCCTGAAAGTGGACTGCTAATTATTCGGGCTGTTTTGAAGGTTATTATTTGACCCAGGCTTTTGGGGTGAAATGAATAACCCAAAAAGTTCACTAAAGTCACACTCTGTCCGTTTGTAACCGATAACTGGATTAATTTTGACACAATGAGAAAATTCACAAAACAAATTCTGTGATTCATGTTATAGTGTACATTAAAAAGTGAAGAATTCAAACACAAAAGCAGACACTTTTGTGAATTGAATAAAAATGGTCTTTTTCATTTCTGGTCCTTGGTTAATACTTTTCTTTTACAGGATATAACTTCAATAATATTAGGGCAAATAAGAAGCTAATTAAGAAAAAAATACATGTAACTTTTCTTGATCTTGGATGTCTTTTCATCACAAAGCCAGACAACACCAGGAAGATAATTTTGTTCAACAACAGACAATTCCAACTCTAAAATTAGACTTAAAAAGCTACCGAACATGCAAATTACTTTGCAGAGAGATTCTAATCCAGAACCTCTTGAGGCACACATGCTAACCACCGTAAACAACCCCCATATACATGTTTTGCCTAAACCTATTCAACTAGCAAAGAAGCAATCCAACGCTCGCCTTACATGATTTCTACTCAGTGGAGGTAATGCTCGAGTGGCTCGATTCACAGCGTGGGACCTGCTGAATGTCTTTCGATGAAGTGAAACTCTGACAAATTCTTCCTTAAAATAACCCTCCATACTCCAAATCCCTCAAAACAGCAGCTGCTTTCTGTGCAAACCATTTCTGATTGCAATCTTCCGGCAAGGCACGCATGAACAGACACGCAGTCACAGAGACACACATGACACACACGACACACACTTATACACACACGGCTAATGTGACCTCCACACTTTGTCCTCCAGGCCCCCTGCCACAAGTGCAGGGTTTAGCGTGTCTCAGTTGAGGGATGAGTGAGGGGGAGCGTGACAACCTTTTTAGGCAGACATGCGTGTGCAGTCTCTCACTTGTGGTGCTGAACACGTTCCGTGTGTATATATAAATACAGTTGCAAGAACAAGAATGTGAACCCCTTGCAATGACCTAGATCAGGGGTGTCAAACTCATTTTTGTCGCGGGCTACATTTTAGTTACCGGTTTCCTTGGAGGGTCGTTATGAGTGAAACCATATAAAGAAGTCAAGAATAACGTTTTATTCACCTATTGTTTAAGTTACTGTAATGAGAGGTTTGGTAACATGAAAATGCTGAGAGTATCACTCTTATTTATTACAAATGAGAATTTGAGTTGAGAACAAAGTTGCCATCTTTGATTTGCTTTCGCGGGCCATATAAAATGATGTGGTGGGTCAGATCCGGCCCCCGGGCCTCCAGTTTGACACCTGTGACCTAGATGTCTGCGTAAATTGGTCATATTAGTTACCGGTTTCCTTGGAGGGTCGTTATGAGTGAAACCATATAAAGAAGTCAAGAATAACGTTTTATTCACCTATTGTTTAAGTTACTGTAATGAGAGGTTTGGTAACATGAAAATGCTGAGAGTATCACTCTTATTTATTACAAATGAGAATTTGAGTTGAGAACAAAGTTGCCATCTTTGATTTGCTTTCGCGGGCCATATAAAATGATGTGGTGGGTCAGATCCGGCCCCCGGGCCTCCAGTTTGACACCTGTGACCTAGATGTCTGCGTAAATTGGTCATAAAATGTGATCCGATCGATCTTGGTCTCAATCAGAGCAACAGACAAACTAAGACCAACACTTCTTGCTTAAGCTAATACCACACAACAAATTACTGTTTTGGTTTCCATTTTTTTTACTGAGCACAGCATGGAATTCTATTTATTTATTTATTTTTATGAAGCATCTTTAACCAACACCTCCAATCTCATCATCTTGGAACCACTGTTGTCAATTACCATGAAAAATTAATCGGACAATAAACTTAAAAAAGTAACTGTGATTCTTGAACAATTTCAAAAGTAAATCAGTAACTTTACACGTTTGTTACTTATTGTTGTATATATGTTAGTTGCTCCATGTGCAGCACTTTGTATGCAGCAATGGCTGTTTGAAAGTGCTCTATAAATACGGTTGAGTTGAGTTACATAAAGGCACATGAACCATGTTATATATATGTTATCTGACAACTTTAAGGTGGAGGCAATAACAAAATATGAGCCCTATGCGTGAACATAAACCATAGCACTTGCTAAGCTACCGTAATATTGAATTTAGCATAGCATGCTAACTTAGCAAGTCCCACTCAAACAAGAACAAAATAGTTTTACTTTGAAGGCCTAAAGTCTGACAGGATGTCACATCAACCCAACTTGGCCAGCAGACCGGAAGGCTCGTTACTGCCTTGAGACTGCTCTTGGCCTAGCGTTACACCGATAAGAGTGTCCACATTAAAGCGGTATCATCTTTACAACCGAACATCCAACAAAGTGTCACTGTGAACAAAAACAAATTGGACACCACTGAGCTATACCCGAAGATTGCTTTTCATTAAACACGCTGACATGACTGAGTCATTTCCACGAGCAATCTCCAGATACATAATTCCGAGTACATTTGAATATTCAGGTCTGCGCTCATTCTGCCGAAGCCGACTGTGATGGATGAACAGCTGACACCGCCGCCTCATGATTGACATCCACCACCACACCTGACATTTTACACGCCCGCACATACAAAGTCACGACAGCTGCATGTGAACACAGTCTCGCAGTCATTTTGAGAGGAAGGCGATACTGGCATCGGTGTATGTGACAAAATGGAGCTTTTGGTTCAATTGGCGACAAGGAGCTGCAAACGACAGCTGGAAGGCGAGTGGGCACCATTCGATCTTTTCATTTTAAATTATCAACTGAAAATAACAAAATGACAAAGTCCACAAGCAGATCGCTTAGGGTAAATAACAGTCGTTCATTGCAGAGGATAAAGAAAATACGCCTGCGTGTAACATTGCATAATATCTCCATCGTTGTTCCACAGTTTCTACTGAAATATCTGCATCTTAAAGGGTTATAACGCCACAATGCTGATGCGCTTTGTTAGCATGAAGCTAAATGGAAGTTCACAAGGCACTTGGAAATGGAAAGAACGAATGATCGGAGATTCGTGCAATTGAAGTGAGGAGGATATTTGTTTGAGTCCGACATGCTGTGCTGCCACTGTCGTTACATTTCAAATCCTTCCCCAGGGAGCCTTGCTGGAAAAATGGGACCATAGTAGCACCCCCTGCCATCCTCAATGTCAATGTCTATCTCACCAGACACTCAAGATGTTTTATTTTTTTTTGTCACAGTACCCCCCCCCCGCCCGCCCCACCCCTTCCCAACAGAGAGTGATCCGGCTCGCCTCGTCTCTCCGTCACGCGGGTAATCAGCCTCCGCTATTTCATTTGGCTCCGTAATGAAAGCAATCCCAGCGCTTTTCACTCTGCAGCGGAGGTGTGTGTGTGTGTGTGTGTGTGTGTGTGTGCCTGAAACACACAATCCTCACAAGTGCTCTGCTTCTTTCTTTCTGTCCTGTGAAGGTTTTATTGGAAAAAAAATGTAACCAGCGCGTCTTTCAACTTGTAATTTAGTCTTCAATTAACATTGTGGATACAAAGACAAGCGAGGGACTCATTGGTCGCGTGTTACTTTCCTGTCTCATGAAAATAAGCCACTGCTGGCCACGCTCCTTCTCCCCCATTGCTACTCGCTATCTGTAATCTGTCCATATTACTTTCCACATTTATTAAGTGCAAATGCCAATTGGTTGGTTTAGTGACAGACTACTGCTCGTGTAGAATGCTAATGCACATATTTGTTTGCCCAAGTGTGAATATCATGTCGTTTGTGCGTTCCATTTTCTGTATGCTCAAAGACATTTCTGACATAAGCAGTTCGCAAAAAGTATACTTGGTTGTTTAATTTCACCTTTGATGGGTGGGCAGGCTCGAGACCCCAATCTGTGTCTACAAGCAATTGACAAGTCATTTTTCTATATGTCCCAAGTACAATGAGTGAGATATTTTCATTCTAGTCGATGCAATCCATCTTTAACAGGTGATATAAAATGATTAACCACCCACGCTTTCATTTGGTTTCAGTGGTGCAATGCCAAATGAGCATTTTTTTTTTCTTTGCCACAGAAAGCATCAACCAAGAATCTGTTATGAGAGTTAAAAAAAATCCAGATGGCCAGAATTTAGTTCAATACGACTGAGCTAAATCACCTGGCGGGCGGACAATCAGCAATCAAGCATGTGTGTGTGTGTGTGTGTGTGTGTGTGTGTGTGTGTGTGTGCGTGTGTGTGTGTGTGTGTGTGTGTGTGTGTGTGTGTGTGTGTGTGTGTGTGTGTGGGGGGAGCGTGAAAGGGACGACGCTTTCAAGTGTTTCCTGATTAGCCTGCAGCCTGCAAACATGGCGCTAAAAGTCAGTGGAGAGAGACGCTTCTCTCTGAAAAAGCCAAAATTATTGTCAACAAAGGGCCAAGGCTTGAGTGGGATTTTGCATGAAAAGTCTTTGAAATTCAGAGAATACTAACGTGACTTTTTAAAGGACGACCCCCAAACTTTCTTGACAGTATTATGTTCTATGCACCTCCACACGTGTGAAAACGGCATTCTGATTCACATTGTGTTGGTGGAATATGAGTTCAGCAGCAAAATTCAAAATCCGCTTTTCGCCATGTTAGAGGGCGGCCATTTTGTCAATGTCTGTCAACTGAAAATGGCATCACAGTTGCCCAGGGCTCAGGTAACAAGCAATCACAGCTCAACTTCAGAAAACAGGTGAATTGGTTGAATATCAAAGAGTGAATATATTGCACTTCTGTTTAAATTATGAATAGAGGCAATTTTAAACATTTGGGGGAAGTATCAATTACTTGTGATTTATTTTTGCTGCGGTTGGGTCTCTTTCCTCTGTGAATAGAAGGAGGTTACTAGATGTGTGGATTTGTGTACAACATAAATTTATTGATCACTGACCGATGATGTTGAAAAAAAAAGACCTCTAAACATCAGTAATAAAGAAAAAAATAACATCCATCGTCTTCTATTGTTCCATTTATTGATCCTAGTAGAAATGTGAAAAACCTGACAAGAGGAATATTGAACCAGTGTTACTGAAGTTGGTTTTTTTTTGGGGGGGGGCGGGGTGAACAGCAGTAAATGAATCTCCACCTTCGGCAAAAATCTCCTGTGCGAACAGAACCTCAGCATCTCTCAACTTTTCCCAAGGTGCCACTTACTTCCTCAGGTGTGACGGATGTGTGGCCAAGAAGGAAAAAAAAAAAACGAAATGAGAATTTCTGATGTCCTGAAGTCCGCCGACCTTGGTTCAGCACCGATATGTCAGACAGAGAGGGAGGGAGGGAGGGAGGGAGCGGAGTTCAGGTATTGCCTTCTCTGCGAATCAATCTCCTTGGATGTGAGCGACACTTGGCACAAGTAGTACAACGGTGAAAAGGTCCAGTCTAAAAATAACCGAGACGAATGAGTTTGAAGTTTCTCAAAAAAAAAAAAAAAAAAAGAACTTTTCAGAGTCAAAGCGTCTGCACCAGCACGGGAAAGAGCAGCGACAGGTGCTCGGCGCCACGGATGGGGAGCTTGTGCGTGGTGTAGAAGTGCACCAATTCGGGGATGGAGTCGAACGGCGGGCTGTTGTGTCCCAGCACGTACTTGCCGTCTTTGCACTGCGTGAACTTGATGTGCATGAAACCCTGGCAGCTCCTGGGACCAAAACAACAAGCTCAAGTTACGACAAGGGGGCGAGGGAGTCACGGCGAAAGGAGGCGGGTTGGGAGTCATGCAGCCTCTGTGGATTTAGGGAGGGAGGAAATATTAGGATGGATGAGGATTAGCACATGCGGATGCAACAAGAGAAAGGGAAAGCGCTGGACTGTGAAGGTGGGTGAGCAAGATGCAGTTCCCTGGCAGGCATGGCCGAGTTCCACTTTCAAGATCAAGCCATTCAGTGCCCTCTCTCTCTCTCTCTCTCTCTCTTTCTCTCCCCCCCGAGAATAACTGACATTGTTCATGTTAGCTGAGACAGCAGGGCTAACAAGACCTCTGCTCGCATAACCACAATCAGAAGCACTACCCTCCATTGACGACCTAAATTATCATCTTTGTTCCATGAAATTGGATCAACTTATTGTTTCTATTTTCAGTCATCCGAGTCATTTCAAATTCAACAACAAGGCTTGGTTAGGACGGCACTAGCCGGGCTTGTTGAACTGATGACGCCTTCACAGATGAGCAAGGCTCCAAATAAAGCAGTTTGAAATTGCATTTTTATCCCTCATTAAAACACATTAAATAGCAAACCTGAGAGTCAACCCGCCGAGATGTCCCCAAAAAGCTTTGTTGGGCTACGTCGCGTACGTCACTCACTATGGATAGTCAGAAGCTGAGCTCGACGCTACTTCAGCTACACTAGCTAGCTAGCAAAATAGTCAGAAGCTGAGCTCGACGCTACTTCAGCTACGCTAGCTAGCTAGCAATGAGATTCGGCTGGCGACTGCTGCGGCTAAACACTTTGCGGAGTCGCTCCGGAATCAGCGATCGATGCCTACGTGGCGTCGAATACGCTACTTTTCTGACAAGTATTGTTCTGACGAAGGGAGAAGCTATGCTTAGCTATGCTCATCTCAGATTGACACGGCGAGTGTGTTCAACACCGGAATTAAGTGCTTGGTGATCACTTTTGACAGACGTCTGGCTGGAACTGCGTAAGAGCTGAGAACATTCAATGTTACAACATCAAGATAGCAGGGAAATTTGTAAATATATATATAGTATAAAATAGCCAAAGTTATTTGTTCTGAGTTCTGTTTTTGACTTTTGTGGTCGGCACAACAGATGTTCTCAAAGTTACATTGGTCGATCATGTTTTTAAAAAAAATCAATTTAGCTTTTCTTGTAGACAAGAAAATGTTTGCTGCTATAAACATTGAGCCCGTAGATGACATAAAAAAAGCAAACTAATTGTTCATCTGTTGTATTGTCATACTTTAATTGTTTCATCAATCCCTTGCTTCAAGTCCCTGGAATTAACCTAAAAAATAATTTTCTCCACAAAATTACAAAGCTCCTAAAATGAAGTTGCTCATTCACAAAACTGCTCCGCAAAGAAACAAAATATTTTGAGAAGCAAAGTGTCTTCCAAGACAAGATCAATTCAATGCCCAAGAAGACTTTATTTCTCTTCATTTCATAGTGGTCTTCTTGTCCGCTCTGCTTCCAGTCCATGTATGTGGATGTTATAAGAATAAGAAAACCTTTATTTGTCTCAGAATGGAGAAATTCCCAATTTACAGCAGCAAAGTTATGAAAGGAAGAAAGCAGAAGAACAAAAAGTTATATGTCTGTTTCGGATTGTTTTGCCTTTACGGAGGTCTGCCATCTCCTGAGTGACAACGTCTTGCCCGATTGGCAAGCCTCCTGTTTATATTCTTCTCTTCTTGTAAAGCTCGACGGCAAAGCGCACGACGGCACGGAGCACAAGTAATCAAAGCGCAGGAGTATTTTACACTCAAATTACCATAATTGATGTGCTAACGGCCTTCAAAACATCACCTACGTGAACCAATCAGGCGTGGGTCAGCGAAACTTGAGCTTTACTGCCGATTATCCACTCAAATCCTGACAGCCTCTTAGCAATCTGCATTCCATACCCGCGTCAATGCTGTTGTCGGCCCTCTCAGCAGGAGACAAAATACGTGTGTGAGGTTTTCAAAAAAAAAAAAAAAAAATGCCAGATGGACGCCGCATTCTATCATCGTCAACACTTTGTCGCTTCTCGGGAGGGGAATGTTTGCGTCAAATCTGAAACTCGGCGAGCAGTCACGACAGTCTGAGGAAGACTAAACAGAACCGAGGTGATGCTTGTGTAGTTGTTGTCAGGAGCCGAAAGCTTGATTCAAGCCTACATTCGTTTTTGTAGCCACCCCGCAAGCAAGAAAATAAAAATTTTAAAAAATCAAAACCTCAATGTATATGAAAACCCTCCAAATTAGCTGTGATTTTGACATGATTAAAGTTTTGAAAATATATTGAGAACAAATTTACAAAGTCACTTGAACAAGTGTTGCCAAGTGTCACCCCTTGCCTCACTTTGCAGAAGCCATTCGGCGTGACGTCGTCTCAAGATTGAAAGTCCAGCTGTTTCCGGGACATATTTGAGAAAATCAGTTTTGCTCGAAAATTATCGCTGTAATGCTTTTGTCAGCTCAACATTTTATTTATTGCATCACTCGTGGCGCTGTGACCTTTGAAGGAGAGTTTGGGAAGATTACGTAACCACAGTTGGGTTGGCATGACCGCAGTTGGCGTTAAAAAAAAAACAACTTTTTTAGCATGTTAAATTAGAGATTGAACATTATTTTGGGGGTGGTGGTGTGTTGATGGGATAATACCAACTGCGGTGTCGGGTAAATCAAGCAAGATGCATTTTTTTTTTAGCTCCTGAAATACAGTGATTTTGCAGATGCGAGGAATCTACCTGTCAGCGATGATATAGACACGTTTTGAAACATTTTTGTTTGGCGTTGTGCCTTGAGATTTTTCTATTGTAAAATAGGTGCCTCGGCTCAATTACGTTTTGAGACCGTACATACGAGGTTACACTGAAGTGAAATCCTCATAAATGTTCATGGAACTTACTACGCAAATCAAGACCGAGGGAGATCATAATGTTGGAGGTTGAATTTAATTAAAACGCCACAGTGTCCCGAGACTGACCATATCCGCTCACATCGGTTCTTCGAGACACCACGCAAGCAAAACGCAGGACCAGATTTGCAACCTTGTATCTTGACCAACAGGAATTGTGCAAAAAATGTGTGAGTAATCCTCAAACTTGCTTGCGTGCAACATCACCCCCCCTCCCCCTGCCCCAAACACACACGCACGCACGTACTCCCATCTCTCTTGCAAGTTGACTCCCATCTTGTGCGGCTCCCAGAAGGTGATTCATATTCATTAGTGATTATGGCGAGGATGATGTGTGCACTGAAGTGTTCTCTACCTGCCTGATTACCACTTAGGGGGAGGCCCTTTGAGACCAAAGAAGGAGGCTACAGTGGGAGGAGAGGGTGGGGTGAGGTGGTGGTGGGGGGGGGGAGTCAAGGACGGAGGCGTGATGGGAGGCCACGGCGATGGATGATGGTCGTAATTACAAGGGAGAGATTTGACCGGATAAGCATTATAGCAGCCTGCAAATGAGTAGCGGAGGAGGAAGCATCAGTGCGGCAGTGATACTAAGTTTGGCTGATGGATGAAAGGAGGAGGATAGAGACAGATGGGGGCGTGTGGGAGTGTGTGTGTGTGTGTGTGTGTGTGTGTGTGTGTGTGTGTGTGTGTGTGTGTGTCGTTGATTGCAGTTCAGGTGGGCTCACACACACTTTGCAGCATTGGAAAGCACCCGATTAGTAAAGGCAAACGTGATCAAGAGCCACAGTTGATTTTCCAAACAGATGGGATAGGTCATTTGTAGATGAGATTTAAAAAACAAAAAACAGAATAAATGATTTAGTGCATGTGTATAAAAGCTCATTTTAATACTTTATAATAAATTAATAAGTTGCTGTCTGTCTACTTTCATTTTTAAGTTGAGTGTTTATATTTGATCATAATGATTCAATGAATTAATTATTTATCAATTATAACTTTTTTTTAACTTATCATCATTGTACAATTAATTAAAAGTAATGTTTTACTTGACTCAAATTGTTATTGTATTTAATATTGTTCATTTTTATCATAAGATAAAAATGTGACCTGGTGAGTGTTTATGTTTGCGTGTGTGTGTGTGTGTGTGTGTGTGTGTGTGTGTGTGTGTGTGTGCGTGCGTGCGTGCGTACCTGAGAGACAGCGAGTAATCGCATCTGTTGGTCTGGCTGTTCCTCACCAGGTAGCTACACTCTTTACTCAAGGTGAGCAGCGACTCCGCTTCAGACCGAGACAGTGAACCGTGGTACCACCTGAGACGCAGAACAAGCCAGAGTGGTCATCCATGCACTGCTCCCTTGCATACATAGAAATCAACAGTCAACCATAAAAAATAAATTAAAAAAAAAAGCTCTCATATAGGCATTAAATCTCAGTGGGACACTTGGACTGACTGTGCAAATCAGCCCACGACTCACAAGCTAATTACCATATTTTCCGCACTATAAGGCGCACCTGAAAGCATTAAATTTTCTCAAAAGCAGACAGTGCGCGTTATAAGCCGAAGCACCTTATATATAGATCAATATTCTGATTTGTTGTACATATTTGAAATGTTCTATAAAGCGCTTTGCTACAGCTGCAGTGGTTGTGAAAGATCCATATAAATATAGCTGTACTGTATTGTATTGTATTCCCTTTAGCACAGCTCCATCTCGTGGATGCATAACGCAACCGCAGCCACTATTGTAGCTTCTACTCTATGTGCCTTATAATTCGGTGCACCCTCTATATGAAAACCGTTTTAAAATAGGCCGTTCATTGAAGGTGTGCCTCATACTCCGAAATGCGGAAAATACGGTGACTGATTTTTTTATTATGTTGTGACGGTATCTTCATCATGACACAGGAAAGACGCGATTAGCTGTTGTAGAGCAACAAATTTGTGTTTGGAGCAACAGATTAGACTAAAACAAAAAAAAAAAAAAAGAGAAAAGTATAACATATTGTGTATATGAGTATAAAATGAAATATGATTCAAGTGATTCAGTCATAAAGGCTTCATCCTGGCTCCCGGTCATTTTAAAATAGATTTTAAAATTCTGCTACTACCGTCTATAAATCACTGAATCCTTTGGGTCCTGAATTCATTAAAGAAATGCTAATTGAGTGTTAACCGGGTAGGGCTCTGAGGTCCCGGGTTTCAAAGCAAAATGGCGAAGCGGCATTTAGCTGCTATGCTGCACACAAGTAGAACAAGCTGTCAGCTGAAGTGAAGCCTGTCTGTAATTTTAAAAAGCTACTTTTTAGTTCTTTACTTTGCTTTTAAATTAATTGTAATCTTTAGTTTGAAAATGTGTTTCAATTTTGTCCATGTATGTTATTTGTGTAATTCTTCGTAAGCTTTTGTTCTATTTGCTCTGCCTTTGAATGTCTTTAGCTGCGTGATAGAAAATGCTTTTAGGGTGTTTTGTTTTTGCTTTGTGTGAAGCACACGCAGTTGCCTTGTGTTTGAAATGTGCTCGATAAATAAAACTGGCTTGCCTTCAAGCCTGTAACGGGGAAGCGATGAGAGTAAGCGAAGGCTGCTGTGTGTCTGGCACCCGATAACACGGGAACGTGAACAAGTACACACGACGGATTATAGAACACAAGTGTCTGTAACAACCATAATTAACGAGGCATTCATTTCATGTAGAATTTTTCTTAAAGAGCTGTTGAAGGTAATAAACTTCATAGAATCGTCATGGATTAAATGTTGCGGAAAAATCAGCTACCGGCGATGTCTATTAGCGTACGTGTCCGTATGCGCACGTACACCTTCACAATGTGCATTTAAGTCAAAAGGTGGCACATAAATCATACCAATGGTGTCTGAAATTACACCAGCAAAGCAAATGAGTGTTTTTAATGTTCAGACCTAATTAGTTTGTACTCTAATGTTTCACAGCTCTCCGAGTTCCGCCGGGTGCCGCTTCGCCGAAACACATTAGCCGCGTCATTTTTGTCCATGCTCATTTATTGGATCAAAAGGGAAGGGAAATTAGCTGAACGACACAAATTGTCTTTTAAATGTTAAAAGCTGCTCATGATCAAGTGAAAAACTAGGCCATTTATGTCACGTATGCGCTCCACTCGCAAAGCATGATGGCCATGTTTAGAAGACAGTTAATGTCAAGTGCATCAGTGGTGCGACGAGTATAAAACTTTTTTTATCACTTTGCCATCTATTAGATTGAGGTAATTAAACTAATGGCCGCAATGACGATGAACATGAAATCAAGCGAGCCTTTTAATCTAATGAAATGTCAACAGCAATGTAGCCGATGGTCACCGAAAGAAAGAAGGCCGACGTACACTTGCTTCTCCAGAGGCTGTGTGGGGTCCACCCTCTCCCCAACCATGGTGAGGCCCTCCTGAGGCATTCGAAACTTTACCCCCCCGCCCACCAGCGGGCTGGACCGGGGCCCTGGAGGACGCAAGCGCTCGGTGGGCGACGACGAGCGATCCCATTCGGGTCCGTCGAACTGCACTGTTGGCATACAGACAGAAGAGGAATTATTGGTAGTGACTAAGATCAAATCATTCGATCGATAACGGTCGAATACAGAAGAGGGATCTGAAGTGCCAGGACGTGGCGGTCATTTTGCATTTGCACAATAGCGTAGCATAGCACAGACGGTGTTATTTCTGAGCTACCGTATTTTCCGCACTATAAGGCGCATCTAAAAGCATTCAATTTTCCCAAAAACCGACAGTGCGCTTTATAATCCGATGCGCCTTATTTATGGTGTTACAGTCTCTTTATATTCCCCATTGAGTTGTTTCCCTGTTTGTGTTCTGATGCCATCTAGTGGTGATTATTAGCAGGAACCAATTGTAACCTAAAGGGGTTCTGCCTGACACTAATTGACATGTGCATTCGCCAACACATTCAAGATAACTACTTTGTTTGCTCTGCGCAGCCATGATGAAACAATACCAAAAAGCATAGTTAACTACTGACTAAACGAAGGAAGAAGGAGACAAGCAAGACTTCGAATTTTCCCCATTTCACCGTGGCTTTCATACTCCTTTGTACCACAGGGCAAAAAGAAACAGGAAATTGTCGCTCTCCTTGAATCACATACAGTAGAAGATGATGATGTGCGATTCTGAATTGAAGCGCGAAGAATGCAGTCGATCGTAGTAGCTGGGGAATTTGAGGTGAAATGCGTAGCAGGTGGAACGCAACGGAACAGATGGAGTCAAAAAGGTCGCAGTGACTGCAGATGTTTGAGTTTGTGGGGAAGGGATGGCGGCGATGGAACAAATGAGAAGAAGATGGTGGGTCGTGTTCAGGGCGAGAGGTCACCTTGCTCTTTAGCGGAGGGCTCCTCCTCCCCCCTCTGACCCACCGGGGCAGGCCAGGACAGCTCTGACAACTCTTTCATCTCTAATAGACGAAGAAGGCATGATGAGGGTTGGGGGAGGGGGGGATATCAGGTGAGAGAAACGAGAGTGACAGAGTGAGAAAAGCACAGATGGCTTCAAAAAAAAAAAAAAAAAAAAATCAAGATATGCGAGAGAGGCGGCGACGACCAAGTGGGTGAGACTCAAATTGAGTGCAAGATTTTAATGAGAGAAAGCGAAGGCAAGTGAGATGTGGCAGCAGGAGGTCCCCTTGTTGTGTGACAGAAGTGCGAACGGACACAAGTGGTGGGAAAAAAAAACAACAACTCCAAAACAGGCTACTGACCAAAAATCGGAGAAAACGGAGAAAACCTTTGGTGAAATGCCAAGCAGAACAGTGACCAATGTTCCCTCGAATTTTCCAGGCATCTGAACATTTACACAAATTCCAATTTCGGCTGGGAATGGATAGGCCGTCCGGGAATCTCCTGAAATTTCCAATGGCCACCACCCACCTTGACACAAGAGTTCACGAGTGGCCGAGTGTTGGTAACTGTTTAGCCGCGATTCAAAAGTTGAAACACAGCTGCACGATGTGGTCATGTTGCAAATGAAGGATGCTTTTACACAGCCACTTTTACACAGCCAAAAAAAAAAAAAAAAAGGGGACCACTTTCTGCAGTAATATATCTCTTCCTTGACCGACATTCCATCTTTTAAAGGATTAGTCAATCCATTTTTTTTTCATGGATTCAAAATATCCATACGCTGCAACATGATACGGGCCCGCACAGTTCACATGGCAAAGAGCCCTTAATTTAATTGTCCAATGTGTCCTAAAAGATAATTCAACATCCAAACCACTTGTCAAAGAAGTTACGCTGGACATATCTCAAATCCAGTATTTCAGATCACCAGAGACTGGTGCGAACCGTACACAACAGAATCTCTGGGACACAGCCATCCGTCATACGAGAGAAAGGAGATATTTTAAGAGATAAGAGCCAGCATTGTTCACGGTTATCGGATGCGGAGAAATTGTGTGGCCGCGCGAGCAACCGGGACAAAATTGAGGCTTCGTGTGTGCCATGTGGCAGAGTAATTGAAGGGTGTGAGGGCTGTGAAAATGCTTCTTGCACTGTCCTACCTACAGACACGGGGGAGATGGAAGGAGGGAGAGTTGGGGGGGGGGGGGGGGGGGGGGGGGGGTTTACAAGGTGCACGGTGAAACAGAGCTGAAAATAGCTCATTATCTACCATGGCAGGCAATAATCTGTCGTCTCTGTAGTCTGACACAAGCGCACATTATGCGATTTGGATTTGCCCGTTCTGTGCAATACTCCGGCTCAAAAGATTACAAAACAAATACACGGAAACGAGATGTCTTAATGAGCTGACAAATCTAAAGGCTGGCACCCCCCCCCCCCCC